TTGCTCGGTTTGAAAAATAATTTTAGGCTTTCTTTGATCTTTTAGAACTTAATGCCTACTACAAATAAAATTTATCCCTAGTCAACCATTTTGAGCCTATAGACTTTTATTTGGCAACCACATTATAAGCCTATACCTATTTTTTCTTAATTATCATTGTTTTGATCCTTTTACCTCTTAAAGTACTTTAATTGTAAAATAAGCGCTAAAAAAAGTAAGGAGGGAACTTCGGTGGATTTTAAGTGGAACCAATGAAAGAAAAAAAGGTGCACTTGTTTTGTAAGGATTACACCATTAGCAGGAATGATAGAAAAAAAAGGGTTATGGTCGGGAAAAAAAAAATATAGCAAAGAAAAACAAGCATATCTTGTCCTTACAAGTGGGTATGAATTAAAATAGTGCTTAATGAAAGAGAAAATACTTTGGGGGTGATATTGTTTGTGAAATTGCAGTTGGGTTAAAGAAAAATGCGCTTAAAGCTAATTTTGTGATATGTTAAAGTGCTTATGAGGGTTAGTCATTATTCCTAAATTTATCCTACCCGTCCTTTATCCCACATTACAACCATAAAAAGTCCTAATTGATTTTAGATCGAGCAAGACTACATTAGTAGAGGTTTACATAATGGGCAAGCTTATGGTACTTTGTGCATACAAGTGACTTCTTTGTGAGAGTGAGGAATTTCGTTGATTTATCTGAGTCCTTAAAATATATTTGAATATTTGATTCGAGTGTGTGGATTCGACTTGCTCTTTTGTACTTGTTGTGAGGGCACATGATTTAGCAAGGGATATGTAACGTTATTAGATTTCTCTATGATGTTAAGTGTTCAAGCCATGAATGCATTGTGATACTGAGTCGGTTTGTGAGGCCAAGATTATTATAAATATGTTGCCTTGTGTTGAATAAATTTTTGAAGTATGGCATAAAGTAAAGGGAAATATGTGTTGAAGGCATATGCTAAAGTTTAATTGTTGCTATCAACCATAGTCATATGTATGATGTGCTTCGGATATACTAAAAGAAAATAAAGTGCTCAAGGTTAATATGAATTGGCGGTTGACTCGAGAACGAGCAACGTTTAAGTGTGGGGTGGTGATATTCGGCCAAAATGCTATACTTATAGTATATTACGCGCCCTATATTTTGTTGGTTTAGTGATTAATTGTGCGATATTTAAGCTAAATTATGTTATTTTATGTGTAGGAGTATCGGAAGAAAGAGTCGAATAAAAGTTGCACAAAAAGAGGTCAAAAATACAAGAAAAGAGCACAAAAGCATCAAATACCCAAACTGTACTACATAAAAAGTAAAGCCAGCTCTATAGCCTGCCTTACCGTGCTACGAGCCAAGTAAAGCCAGCTTGACCGCGCTACAGGCCAAGCGGAGCCAGCTCTGTAGCCAGGCTGACCGCGCTATACGCCTGTCTTCGCGAGGTCTATAGCCCGGTAATTAGATGTTATAGGTTAAAAGACTCCAACCCAGATTTAGACTGAGGGATTTCAGCCCTAACATATAAATACTCCCCAAACGACTTGAGGGAGGGCTGGACACTATTTTGGAGAAGAAAACAGCTACAGAGCACTGTGGAGCAAGAATCAAACGAGTTTTCCCTCTGTTTATCTTCGTACTTTGTAGTTTAATGTCTTTGAACATCATGATGATTATTGATACATTTATGAGTAGCTAAACTTTCTAATCTACGGTTTGATGGAACCGATTGGAGGATGATTTTCTACTACGTTTAATATAGATTTGCCTTTAATTTTTCTCTACTTGTTCAATTACGTTTACATTGTGGTTGACTGAAGAGCTCTTAATCGACTGTGCCTATTTAGTATGTATTACTTGGTAAAGGGTACATATTTAGGTAGTTGTTGAACAACATCACTCCTAACGTATATGAGGAATCAATACGGAGGGTTTAAAGGTGGGATTAAGAATAACGAAACCTTGGTGCGATCCTAGTGAGCGGTGAATTAGAGCCAGCTAGCGTAGTTCGGAAGAATACGTCTAGTAAATTATGGTAGTTACTCGTAAGAGAATTACGACACCCAAAGTACTCACGATCGGTAGAGAATATTTAGGCGAATTAATAGGGTAGCGAAGAGGATTCCGACAATAGGGGAAATCATAACCCTAGACTTTTTCAAATCTTGTCCACAACATTTTTCCTATTAGTTATAAATTACTGCATTTTAATTACTTTGCTCTTAGTTAGTAAACATTCAAATCGTTATTTAATATTTCTGAAGGTTGATTATTTGAATTCGTATGAATCTAGTGGTTGTAATTAGTAGGTTAATTCCCTGTGGGATTCGACTCCGGACTTATAAATCGGATTATATTTGCAACGACTGCTAGACCTCTTAGGAGGCATAGTTGGGAGTGATCACCTAACTATGCCTTACCAAAAGCAAATATAATCTGATTTTAGAGTTCGAAATCGAATGCCAAAGAGAAGAACTAAATTTGTTCAATATCACTAAGAAGATAAACTCGAACTATTTTTAAGTTGTAAAGATTGAGAGTCTTGTTTTAAACTAATTAACTACAACTATCAAAAAATAGTAGAAATTTATCAACTAAAGAGACTAAGGATTGGAGACAAGAATTAAGGAGGCCTAAAGTCATATATGATTTTTTCCAATTGTCGGAATCCTTCTCGTAACGTTATCTATAATCTTGCCGATTTTATTCTCTATTGATCGTAAGCACTTCATTATCGTGATTTTCTCTCTAGTAACTACAATAATTTACTATACATATTCTCTCGAATTATGCTAGTTAGCAATTTCTCACAGCTTACTATGACCACGCCAAAGCTTTATTATCTCTAATCCCACTTTTAAACTCTTCGTATTGATTTCTCATATACCTTGGGAGTGACATTATTCAACAACAACCTAAATATGCATCATTTATCAAGAAAAATATAATAAATAGGCATAGTCAATTAGAGCTCTTCAATTAACAAAGATAATCACATAGTTGAACAAGTCGAAAAAATCCAACGGTAAAATTATATTAAAATGTATCAAGAATTCATCCTAGAAAAGATTCCATCAAAATACTATATAATGAAATTTGCTACTCATAAAAGTATGTGAAAACACAATCCTAAAATTCATAACTAACAACAAAAAATAGAAAGAAAAAGGAAAAAAACTCATGGTTGAATCTTTCTCTTTGCTCCTAGTGTGTTTTAGCTTCCAAGGGTCTTGTTTCCCTCCAAAAGGTGGCTACAAATGATATTATTGAAGGTAGTATTGTATTGGGGCAAACTTGGCATCTCCTATTTCGGATAGTAGAAGCTGGAGTCGCGTCCGTCGTTCTTGCGTGAGACCCAGACTACTCCCAACTCTCTGTTGTTCTTGCTCCAGACCGAGACTGGCAAAGCTAATCATGCTTCGCTATCCGGGATTTTTACTCTTCAGCTCTTTTTTTGCTAATTTTTCTCCTTTTTGATACTTTCCTACACAATATCGTTCATACACATAAAAAAAATATGTAATAAGCATATTTTATGTTAGAAACGATGTGAACTTCCGCAACTAACAAAAAAAATAATACGCAAACTACTCAAAAACATACACTTTTCGACGTTTATCAATGTACAAATTATTTACTATTGTTGAAAATTATTAAAACTAATTAGACCTGATTGAAACTTGGGACGACATAAATCAAAGGCTCGATTATTAGTCCTACTAGTCAAACAAAGGAAAAGGAGTGTGAATTTCAATCTTGCTTTTTTAGATATCAAGCTCAATTTGAGCTTATAAAATAAATTACAACACATAACCCCACACGAATACAATTAATTAAGAGTGTTCAGATTTTTCGAAATCTCTTCTTATTTAAAATTAGGCTTCATTAGTAGAATATATTAAGTATTATTCTAAATAAAAGTTTGCACTAGCTTTGGTAGCCCTATTGAAGCATATCTCTTGTCAAAAAGTAGACTTTCAAAGTGCTGCCTTTCAAAGAATTCTGCCCGCCTCAGCTTAACTATATGATTCTGAGCTCATTTCTTGAAATACACAATAACAAGCCAGTAATTAAAGTAGACAACCGAAATTCTCTTTTTTCTCTTCTTAGGCATTCAGTATTTGAAACTCAATATCTGAATACAGGGTAAAATGTTTTATTCAGATATTCTTCATTTTCAAGGCTTGAACCTGAGTCTAGCTAGAAGCAGATAACCAAATTTATGAAAAAAGAGATGCTATATTTTTCGAGGTCATATGCCTTGTATCTTTTGCAGAGAAAATAGCTGAAAAAGGCCCTGGGAATTTAATACTACTACAAGGCCTGATCTGGCACTTACTAGATCACATACAGCATCATCATATTATATTAGAGGCGGATCTATGTTTTAAGTTATATGAATTCAACCTTTAAAATTTCTAGCATTAAATTTATATGCTGTGTCAAAATCATTGGGTTTGAGGAGAAATATAGGCTTTGATCAAACATCAAAACAGTTGATATAACGTTTAACTTGTCAACTATATATCTGAAGATAATTCATAAACTTAATTTGAGTATAATCTTAACCTAGAATTTGCCTTACGCAAAGCCTGACTGCATGTCCAAGTCTAACTTATAAAAACCAAATGGAGAATATAAATTTGAACAGACCGATTCTTGAACATTATGCTCTACTTTAACAAACTTCTGTACGTACAATTAAAGCTAATCCATGGATAGTACTATCTAAGTAAAAAGAAGAAATTAAGAGAAAGAAATACATATAATCATTGATACTTAATTAGTACAAACCAAGCCAAGTGTTCATTGTCATAAAACTTCACTTTACACACAAATTAAAATCAAAACAACAAATTAAGAACCCCACTTAACAAATTAGCTTCCTCGCCCTAAAGATTCTTTAGTAAAGAAATGAAAACACTCCACTGACCTAAACCTAAGAACCCAAGACACGTGAACATTAATACACAAAGCAAATCAAACTTAAGTTAAAACAAGAAACAACCTAATCAAACAACATTTGAGAAAGTCAAATTCATTATTACATGTCCCTAACTTCAAACTCATTGCGATTCTTGACAACAATATCGTACATGTGCATGGACTTAAACCTGTTGAAATCCTTTGGTAGAGAAATAAGATGTACTGTTGATCTTTTGTGGTACTGAAGAAGGTCTGGATCATCATAGTACCTCTCCCATCCAAGAGAGTACAACTTCCTTTCGAGGGCAGAATAAGATGCAATTACTTCATTACTAGAAAGGTGTACGAGCACTTTCCGGCGACCGGTTGCGCCGTGGAAGTCGCCGGGGTTCTCTACTAGCCGGACAACTCCATTCTTGAATACCCAAACACCAGACATGTTTGAAAAGGAAAAAGGATAAAAATGAAAATAGTACTAAATAGCTTGAAGATGGACTTCCGAAGAAGGGTGAGTCGGTTTTTATAGGGGGTTCTGTGTAATAAAAAAATACATAAGGTGGCGCAAAGTAATTTTTTATGAATAGGAATGTGACTGCTGAAGCTTGTACTAAATAGGTTTCCCATTAGCGTATTTGATAATTTTTTAACAATACAACAGCTTAATATCCACGAGCTTGTAAGTAAATAATATTAATACTTCCTCCGTTCTAATTGGTTTTGAATTTAGAGAGTCAAACAAGTTTTTCTTGACCATAATTTTTTCATATTGGCTTTTAAATAATTTGAATTATTAATTATTGTGACTAATAGTACTTTTTATATAGTTTTCGAATATATAAATTTTATTTTAAAAATTTTAAAATTTTTATGTTCGGGGTAAGAATTTTTGACTCTCAAAATTCGAATTGTGTCACGTAGACAAAGGGAGTATTAACTTATCATATTAACATTAAAGAAAAATAAATTAAAGGAGAATATTTACATGGCCCCAGATGGAAGGGGATACCCTAATTTGCCATACTGATAAGAATCTTCTCCTAAACAATCACTAATTTACGATCTTATGCTGCTTAAATGAACTTTCTTTTGGTTAATGGGTTCCAAGAATAATTCTTTAATTTTTTTAGTGCAAAGAACAATCCTCTACTCCATTCCTATTTCCATTGCTTACATGAAGCCACTCAGAAAAGGGGGGGAAACTATATATAGTTAGAACCTAATTAAGCAGACATTTCGGAGAATTGTCCAGCTCGGTTGGCGATGTTTTATTTAATTCTTAATGTTGTAATAAAAAAAATTTCATCGAAAAGTAGTACTCCCTCCATTCCAATCTATGTGAACATGTTTGATTGGGCACGGAGTTTAAAAAAAAATGAAGACTTTTGAAATTTGTGGTCCTAAACAAGTCAAAAATGGGTCGAGAGTATTTGTGTGATTATAAAAGTTTCTCATTAAGGATAGAATTGAAAGTTTAAGCTAAATTGTTTCCAAATTTAGAAAGGGGTCATTCTTTTTGGAACGGGCCAAAAAAAAAATAAGTTCACATAAACTAGAACGGAGAGAGTATAATATTATTTTCTACTACTATTAATTTTTCGGTTTAACAATTTAGTATCATGAACCACTGGTCCGACAATCCTGATTCGTGCTACATAAGGTCCATTTAAGGGAGAACTTCCTACCAAAATTTTCGTGAAAATAGTACGGGCTAGCCAGTTTTCGGACTGGTAATTGAAAAATAGCTAGCGTTTGCAAAGTCATTGAAAAATAGCCACTATTTTGCTGCAACACGGAAAGTTCCAGCATAATATACTGGAGATTGATGCACTTGTATATGAACTTCCTGCATATTATGTTGGAATTCCAGCACACGGAAAGTTCCAGCATAATATACCGGAGATTGGAGCACTTGTGTATGAACCCTCAGCATATTATGTTGGACCAGTATATTATGCTGGAACTCTAGTATATTATGCTAAAATATTTTTCGGATTTTGAACAGTGTTTTCCTTTAGATTTATCTTTATATGAAAAGTGGCTAAATTTCGATTACTTTTGAAACGATGACTATTTTTCAAATACCACTTGTAAATCTAGCTATTTCTGAATTTCACCCAAATTTTCTTCATTCCAGGGATTGAACATGAGACGAGTTTAGAGTAGAGGAATCCCCTTCATCCTACGTACCACATCCTTCGATGAATGCATAAAAATAATGCTTAGTTTTTAAGATCATAACAACGGCCAAATTAAACATGACAATGGAATTAAATAATGTTTCCAAATATATGGATACCTTTCTAAAAATGGAACACAACGTGAAGTAAGTGCAAGAAAGGAAGGAATAATAGATAAAACTAAAGCAAGAAAAGCCATCAAAATAAAAATTAAAGAGATCAGAGAAATGGAGATCTCTCCTATCCCATACTTTGTGGATATCGGATTGGATAGGATTGAATTAATGCATGAGAAAAGTAAAAGAAAATCAATCAATCTTTCCTTCTCTTCTGTCTCTTTCACTTTCCCCTACTCCCATATCACCATTTCAGTGAACAAAGGAGGAGAAGTCACATATGCCCATTCATTTGAGGAATGGCCTTATCTGACCAGAATATGAAATAACTTAAAGTGTTACTACTATACTTTTTAGCTCACACTTTTTTCATGATCTGTATGAGAATTCCCTTTGTCAAACCCACAACTCCACTGGAAAAACAAGCTACATGATCTGAAAGGAGTTCAATCGGATAAAAAAGGATTTTATATGTATACTTAATTATATTTATAAACGGTTGAATTTATAAAGGATTGAAAGAGAACTTTAATATATGGTGTACACCTTTAGCTTAAAATGATAAGACTCAAAAACTTTCTTTACATTCTTAAACTTTGTATTTCCCCAGGTAAATTACATAAAATAAAACAGAGACGTGTCCGAACCAAGCACCAATCTAAGTGTCTACACTTACAGAGCCCAAAATAACATGGGTAATCACCTGATTCTAGAAGAGCGGATCCATGTTTAAACATCAATCATATCACAATTAATGATCAATAATCAATATCCGCTTACAGTATCCTTAGTGCCAAAAATCTCAACTTTTCTCAATATCAAACTCTCCAGATTCATGCATATACGTATAAAATAATATAATTAAGATGCACCGGAACATATTAATAAAAATACGGACGAATACTCGGATGGAAAAAGAATGACTACGGTTTATAAGTTTCAAAAAATTAAAAATACAAATTAGGAAATTGAATTTCAATTGTGGAAGTATATCAATTGGTCGAACCCTAAAGTGACTTATTAGAATTTCTGATTCCTTTCCATCTCCACAATGCCTTTAATTTTATCCAATTATGCACGAAAGGAACAAAGGGGGAGGAGTGGGGATTAGCCAAGTGGCAAGTCGATCTTTTTTTAATCTCGCACGGTACACGTGTTGATAAGGCTAGCTCTTATCTGCACATGTAAATAATGGCTCCCAAAGCAATTACTCTTTTGTGAGGTTAGGGTTCAGTTGAAGTTGCAGTGAATGCAGAGTAGTTTTTGGATTCTTGAAATTTGATGACACCCTCCCACAACTTCTGAACCCACACCTTTCTTTTGGATTCTTTTAGGAGCCGTTTGGTAAGGATATTAGGAGTAGCTAAAATCACGATAACTTTTATACCACAATTATGAAATTATCATTCTCATGTAAAAATAATAGTCTGATGCATCGAGTATTCCGGATTCATGCAGGGTCCTACAAGAGTCGCACTCTTAGGGTGTAATGTAAACAATGTTTTATAGATCACACGAATATAACTTTATATCTATGTAACATGCGGGTGGTTTTGAACCAAATAATCCCTTATTGTATACCTAATGATCCAGTGATGACATAACATCTCATCATTGCGTTCTCATGTCATCCTCAATTCTTATCTAATTATATGATTAAAAAACAATTGCTTGCACCTCCTCCAAGTTACTAATTGCATGATAAAAATATAAACAAAATCGAATTCTATATTTCATGCTCGAAACTTTCTTCGAATTTTTGCCCAAAATACAATTGCATGCTAAGGCACCAATATTTTAGGCATTATTGATGACTCCTAATCTACCTAGACTCCTAGGCCCTAGCTCTGTATGTTTAGGGTAGATTGATGTGAAGAAAAGAAAAAGTCTTACTCACTCCTTTATGTGAACTTATTTTCTTTTTGTTCCGTTCCAAAAAGAATGACTCATTTTTAAATTTGATAATAATTTAATTTAAACTTACAATTTTACCCTTAATGAGAAGCTTCTGGACCCCTATTTGACTTGTTTAGAATCACAAATTCTAAAAAAATTTATTTTTTCTTAAACTCCATACCTGAAGTGTATCAAGACTGAAGGAGATTAGGAAATGTATAAATTATTCACATGTATTGATACGAAGGAAAAGATATAAAGCACCTGACACGTCTTTTTTATAATTAATTGTTTCAGAAAAAAGATATCAAAACCTGTTTATATAAGTTATAATTCAATGTCTTTTCGTGTTATTTCGTTTTGAAATAGTACTCTCGCACCGTAATAACTGGCTCCTTTTCCAACCTTTTTCTATAAGTTTTACTTTATTCCATGACAGATTCAAGCACTTACTATCAGTGTTTTAAAAGGTATTTTTAGGACTTATCTGGGGCTCGCTCCTGGACGGGACACTTGCAAAATGTCCTGAGACTCATGTATGAGGCTTAGTTCTGTGAGGCTGATGTCCTAAGCGTCCGACCGTGCGCCCTAAACACGCCTAACGCCCAACGCTCGGGGCTTGCCTAACAGTTCTAACGCAAATCACATGTCGAATTTTCTAATTAATATCGTTGACCTTCAAAATTCTTTAATAAATTAATGATAAAAGTTCTATTCATCGATAGAAATATGAAGATTGAGCATAACTCTAATAATGAGACATAGTATTGCGAATTTATATCTTCACTTGTTATTGGTCGTGTCTTAGTTCATTTGTCCTTCCTTGTTATACACTTTTATTTTGATATCTTAAACTAATTTATATTTATTCATGAAGGAGTAATATTTTAATTATTGTAATAATAAGATTATATTAATTATTTACTTTTAGGAAGGTAAAATGTGGAGTTTGATCATTTTTTTAAAGAAATTATANACTTGTAAGTAGCGTATAATAGATTGTTTGACTAGTTTTTTGTGGGGATGAAGCGCACACACACATATAGATTGTTTGACTAGTTTTATTCAATTTTTATGCAATTTTATATATTTATAAATATTTACTGTCATTATATTATTTTATAAAATATTAAAAATTAAATACATATGGGGCTTACGCCCCATGCCTAGGGGCTTACGCCTCGTTGAGGCATATGTAAAACGCCTCGCCTTACGCCTTACGCCCCACGCCTGTTAAAACACTGCTTACTATTACTATTAGGAGTATACAAACGAAACCGACAAATTAATCGCACCAATCCGATAATTCGAGTCAAACTGAAAAAAATTCCGACTATGATTTGGTTTGATTTAGTTTGGTATTGGAAAAAAAACTCGACAATATTTGGTTTGGTTTGGTTTTAACTAAAAAAGTCAAACCGAAACCAAATTAACCAACCTGACATTATATGTGTAGAAGTTTTAAATATATTTAATACATAAAAATATTTATTGTAGTGTAGTTTATAAATATTTATTAAACTTTTTTATAATTTTATCTTTTAACGTATTATTTCAAGTTTGGACTTATAATTTTTGGATGCTTCAATAAGTGAATAAATGTTAGTAACTCAAATAAATCCTAAACCAAAATCAAATCAATACTAATGCTATAAAAGACATTCAATTCAATTGTATTATGAATGAAAATAGTGTTGGATATCTATTTTGTTTTAGTTTTTTCATAGTTTAGATAAAATGCATAACTTATTTTTCTTTTAGTGTTTAGTCATGTAAATAATAGTAGTACTTATTAGTCATACTTATTAGTAATTTTAAATTATGGTTGTTTTCATTATAGCTTATTAATAATATTTATTTTATGAGATTTTATTATCTTTATTGTTGAATATTTTAGTACAATGTCATGAATCATCTCATATTTATGTTATTTTGTTGAAAACCCCTTATATAGTTATGTCTTACTAAGATTAAAGAAATATTTGGAGCACAAATTCTATGTTTTGTGCTATGGAGACTTTATGGAAGAAAACTTGAAAACCCAAAAAAACCGAGAAAAATCGAGATTTGAAAACCCAAATTTTATTGGTTTGATTTGATATTTAGATTTAATAACCCGATACAATTGATTTGATTTTATCATTAAAAAATTCGAACCAACTCAACCTATGTATTTCCCGTACTTACTATATGAACGTTGATGACACAACACTTAAAATAGAACAAGAAAGTAAGGAAGAAAAAGTGAAAAATTATGTAGTGCTTGCATTTAATTGGATGGGACTGAATTGAATTAGAATGATTTATAGCTTGTTTGGCCAAGCTGTAAAAATTAACTTATTTTAAGAATTATTTTTTTTAAAAGTACTTTTCTCAAGAGTGTTTTTGATGAGTAACAGTTTGTGTTTGACTAATTAATTTGAAAAGTACTTCTGAACAGCAATTAGTATTTGGCCAAGTTTTTAAAAATTGCTTCTAAGTGTATTATTCCCAAAAGTATTTTTTTTAAAAAGTGCTTTTGAAGAGAAACTACTTTTTCTGATTCTCCAAAACTGCTTCTGCTTCTCCTCAAAAGCATTTTTTTTTCTTCCAAAAATTTAGTCAAACACTTAAACTTTGAAAAAAAAAATGTTTCTTTGAGAAAAAATTGATTTTAGGATCGGAGAAGATGGGTCAAATAGAGGCTATTAATTTATTCGTTTGTCTCTACATTACTCTTCTTTAATTGAACATTCTTATTTCTTAACATCTTATGCATCGAAGGCTGACGCTTAAGCGAGGGAGAGCTTAAGTGAAATCTAGATTAAGACCAAGTGAAATCTAGATTGCCCAGTAATTCAGTTCAGAAAGAAATTGCACAAGGTGACTATATCTTTTTTTGTTACGGTTCGCCACGAATTCGAGCTATAAAAGCAGCCACCAATATTTGCATTAGGTTAGGTTGTCTACATCACATTTTTTGGGTGCGGTTCTTTCTAGACCCTACGTGAATACGGAATATTTTTTGTACCGGGCTACCTTTTTTAGGTGTCTGGTATTCACATTGGGATCCGACTAAATCCAGATTTGTGTTGAAAAGTATACATTCAAAAGTAAAATATTCTTTAACAAAGACGATTTCATATTTAATACTCGTGAAACCTCTTAATAAAGACCGAAAGAATATTTATTACTTTACTATAACCTTTATTTATTCGTTAATTATATCTAAGCTCAAGTAATAGGATATACTACAATATATAGAAAGAAAAAGAAGAAGCAGATGAGCATGTCTTGGGATGGGTGCACTCTGCACGTGATCTTTCGAAGGCATTAAAGGTGAAGATGAAGAACGAGGAAATAGATGAAGAACGAGGAAATACTTCTTCATTTATTTCTTCTTATAAAAGAATTGAGAAATTAAAGAGAAAATGTTATTGTCATTATGAAATTCGGATGCGGCTCCTTTCCATTAATACTTTTTGTGTATTTCCTCAAGTGCACATGAGTACATATAAGTCCCATTTTAAGGTACAGACAATACTTTTCAAAAAAGAATAACCAAAACCTCTTAGGTTCATGTTCTATAATTTTATTATTTGAATCTAAAAATAATAAGATGAAATTAATGATTTTATATGGGTAGCATAATTTGTGGGGGATATATACCTTTTTCATACCAAAGTTGGACAGTATACTTCTCCAAAACTTATTTAATTTAACTATGGTTAAGCTACTTGTTAATGTACTATAATATAGACCGTTAAATTTCAAATTTGGATGTCGTACATTTAAATATGGAGCTGAGGAAATGGAGAGGAAGTATAATGAAAATGGAGTAACAACCTTTAAATATACAACATTAACATCCTAACATTCAGTCCTTACAACTTTCCAACATTTGCAGCATTACGAAACAAACCACAAAATATCAAACCTAATTACAACACACTAGAAAATCACCCCCAATCGGAAAGAAAACAAAAAAACAAAGAAACAAAGCACACTGGCAAAATGACTTGAAATGAAGTAGCCATCTTCTTTCTTTCTTTCTTATCATATGTCTCTAACTTCAAACTCATTGCGATTCTTGACGACAATATCGTACATGTGCATGGGCTTCAACTTGTTGAAATCTTTTGGGAGAGAAATGAGATGAACAGTTGATCTTTTATGGTACTGAAGAAGGTCAAGATCATCATAATACCTTTCCCAACCAAGAGAATGAAGTTTCCTTTCAAGTACTGCATAGGATGTGATGACTTCATTACTTGGAACATGAACTAACACTTTTCGACGACCACTTGAGCCTTGACAATCTTCAAGTCGGACAACTCCATTCTTGAATACCCAAACTCCAGACATATTAGTAATTTGATGTTAGTTTGTGGAGGAAAGGAGAATTGATGAGAATATTTCTAAGTCTCCAGCTTGTGAGATGGCTTGAAGAAAGAGGGTGTGAGGGGCTTATATAGAGGTTTTTTGCTATTTATTATATTTTTTTAAAATCTTTTTGAGAGGGGTTTGAGGAGGGGATGGTGGGGTAAGTACTAGATGAGTTTATGTTATGTGTACTGACAATGTGAGTAATATTTACCGTATTAGGTTGATGACCTATATCAACATGTAATTTTCTATACCAAGTCTAACATGATAATATCAAAAATAGATCGATATAACCTGTTAAATTGTACTAATAACGATTTTTTTTTCATTATTGATGCAAGTACCTTAAATTGTTCCTAGATAGGGCTATTTTGACGGAGTCTGAATTGTGCGAGAAGATTGTAGGCAGTGACGCATGATATCCAATAAATTTTGCCCAAACGTTATATATGTATTAAAAATTTTATTAAATATTAGTAAACTAACATGAGGGTGTTGTAGGAATCAATGAAATTTAAATTTTGGATTCGCCGGAGAAACATATTCCTGTTCCGTTCAAGAACATAATATACCATTTTTTTTATCATAGTTAAGTACGACATGTTTCATACATAAGCAAAAAATTCTCAACTACGTACGTGATACTTAAAATCAAAAGAAAGAAGATAATTGGAGCTGTTAATGAGTGGTTCAAAGAAATTTACATACAATCAAAAGAAAGAAGATGATTGGACAAAGAGAAATAATTCCACAGGTATATATCCTAGCCTAACTATTATACAGATAGAAAATCGACAGGTGTTGCGAACATTTGAGTTCTTCGAATTTTCCCTATAGAGAGAAATAGGGATCTTGTAGTGGAATAATCGGATTGAGAAGAATCCATTTTTACTTTATCCATCCAAATCTTTAACCCCACAAAGGGAATCTTTTGTTTAGATGAATTATACTTGATTATTTCAGTGTATTCTAGAAAAAGGCTAACATAGGACAACGATTTATACGCAATGCGTAGGTCTATTAATGAGTTTAAGTTATATAAGAATTTTTACACTATCCGATCAATATATCAAAAGTTGTTTCTTATAGGTTATTGTATTTGGAAGATAAAAAATAAATTAAGAAGCCAATGAATTAGGTTTCCAGTGATTTAATATAAATCAATAGAAAATTAAACCATTAAAATGCATGAGGTAAATTATTTGGAAACATGGAATCTTCAATTTACTTTTCTTGGTTATGTGAAATCGAGACAAGAGTTTCCAGATTCTGTAGTGGGGGTAGACCAGAAAAGGAGAGGGAAAACGAAACTGGAAAAGAAAAAGAATAAAAAAATAGCATATAAATTTCATCCATTTTTTGTATTTTTTTATTTATAGAATCTCATCCAGTTCATTTTTGCCCAACTCTGTTGACTATATTTCTCTTCTTTTTCAATATTGTAATTCTTACCGACTAAAACATCCTAATTGAATGCCCAATGGCTTCCTCGTGTTTAAAAAAAGCAAAAGGAAAGAATAACTGAAAGAGTTCAAAAAAGATGTAACGAAATGCTCCTCAAACCAATTTTCACTGAGAAATATAGCTTATTAATACGTCTCCATTGGATGATTTGTTAACTTATTTTAATAAAAAGTTATTTAACTACAATAATATTTTTAATTTGATTTCTCATCTGGTGTTCGGTATCAGCACTGAGAGTCCGACTAAATTCGAGTATGCGCTGAAAAATCTTAAATTGGAAGATAAAGCGTTACCTTACAAATGCAATTATTTCATATATACCTAAGGCTCGAACCCATGACCTTTAGTTAATGATGAACGAGTGCTTACTACGCACAACATTTGTTGGTATGTCACAATGCTTGTCAAATCCATATTGGTTTTTAGTTTCATGTATTGTGCCAAATTGCCAATAAAGCTTATCAAAATGTGGTTTGGCTGGACCTTTGTTTGTATTATCATACATATGAAAGAATCTGAGACTGAAAATTTTCTTTTTTCTTTTTACATCCAAGAGAATATGACATGTTGATTAAGGAGAACCAAATCTTCCGCGAATTCTTCTTTTATGGTCGGTAGTGTTTAGTACTGTTATTTAATCTTAATTAGACTCGATGTGTAAGAATGAAAATTAGAAGAATGAAGAGGAATATGATTAAAACATGTGTAGATAATGATATTAAGTGCACTATCTTTCTTTCCTTCCCTTTCCGTTTCTCTCCTTCTATTATTTAATTTCCAAATCAGTCTACCCTTTAATTTTGTTCTTAAATCTCCATTTTCACTTTTCATGACCATAGGATATTAGCCTAATTAGTATCATGGACTTATGTCACCATAACTGAGGTCTTTCCTTTTGTTTCCATTCTTCTCTAATAATCAACTTTTCGTTTTAGAAAAAAAAACTAGTTTCATTTTATTTCCATATAAATAACTTACTTTGTTTAGCCATCTAATATTCGAAGCCTACGTACTGGTTCGGTTAATCCAGATTCACGTCAATGGCCATAGGCCTACTACGTAGGGGATAAAACACTCCTTATTAAGAAGTCCCAGTACAAGTCTCTAATTAAGGGTGGAACGATCTCAACCATCTCACGGTGTTACTGGCTAGTTAGTATATATTAATAAGGTGATTAGCAAGGACCTGTATGTGCATGTCACTAGAACTGATGAAGTCCGAACACAAGTTTGAACTTTCAAAACGAAAAATAATGGAAATAAGATAAGCAATTTCTACGTTAATGATAAATAACCACCACGTGTAATAATTAGTATGTCTAAAGAAAATAAAGTGAAATCTAGTATGCAATGTATGTGAACCAAGTAACAAGATGCATGGCAAAATGGTCTTGAGAAAAAAGCTATTGCAAGATTCCTGGCTTTTAAAAATTATAGGGCAGAAGTTTGTTTTTCTTGTTTTCCTGTAGGGCTTTTGGACATACAAATCTCTTTTCCTAAGCAAAATGGTCTCAACCTTGTAAGGGAAAATAATGTAACTTTCTTAATTCCTTCTCGTGAAATGTGGTCCTATGACCTGTATTAACCCGACCATTTTTATCCGAATCTTCCCATATTGGACCACCCTTCTAACTTCTTTCTTTACGAGATAATACTCTAGTTGTTTTATTTTATGTGACATTATTGCGTTTTTAGTCTCTTTAAAAGAAAATGACACAAATTTCAAGCATATTTAATACCATAAATTTTCAAAGTCTTTCATTCTTTCTTAAATTTTGTGCTCATTCAAACATATTTACATAAATTAAAACAGAGAAAATAGTAATTACTCTCACTTAATCTTGAAAGCAATATTAACATAACTCATGATCAATTGAAACCGTCTCACCATGATAATCTTGAGTTGGTCATAATTAATGAGTGATTAAGGTGACTGCTTATTAGTATTGACACCAGATATGTTCGTTGATAGTTGATTGCTTAAATATGTTGTTGAAGAAGCTAATCATGATAAGAATAAGCTTACACAAGATAAGGATGGTTAGATTGCATTGTAGAACTTGTGCTTAACTCATTGTAATAGTCATACATGTAGTAGAACTCTAAGTTATTTGTAGAAGCTATCACTTAGCATACTTAGCCTAGTTTTTCGATTGTTTCGTGACTAGTATAAATGCAATCACTTGTGGCTTTGTAATACATGTGAAAATACATGATTACTTAATATAATTCTTTCTCAATCTTGTGATTTTCTACATGGTATCAGAGCTTTCTGAAGCTACGCTGCTCACACCAGAAACAAGATCAAACATGGCCATAACAAACCCTCAACCTTTTTGTGTCTATCACCTGCTTCCCTGCATCATCTGATTGCCTCTTGTCCAGTTAAGTTGAAACCATCGAACTATTTAATCTGGAGGACACAAATACTCCAGTTGATTCAGTTAATGAAGGTGACAAACCTGATCAAGGAAGACAAGCTAGACACAAACAGTTCATCTACTTCTGTCGGTGCTGATAAGGTTGTCGACAAAGGTAATGACAACACTGACTGGGAGGAAAAAGATATGCTCCTGAGGAGTTGGATCTCTGCTACAATGACTGAGGAAAGCATGTATCTCATTGTGGGATGCTCAACTACCAAAGAAATGTGGGAATGCCTAGAGGAAGCATACCTGCAGGCAACCAAGGATAAGAAATTTCAACTTAAGCAACAACTGCAGAACATCAAGCTAGGAACCAAAAGACTTGATAAATATCTGAAGGAGTTCAAAGGCATATGTGATGGTCTTTCAGCCATACACAAGCCTGTTGATGAAGACAGCAAAGTGATCAACTTTGCTAGAGGACTTGGTCCAAAGTACAAGACCTTTAGGACTGTCATGCTGGGAAAGGTTCCATATCCCAGCTGCAGAACATCAAGCTAGGAACCAAAAGACTTGATGAATATCTGAAGGAACTCAAAGGCATATGTGATGGTCTTTCATCCATACACAAGCATGTTGATGAAGACAACAAAGTGATCAACTTTGCTAGAGGACTTGGTCCAAAGTACAAGACCTTTAGGACTGTCATGCTGGGAAAGGCTCCATATCCTACCCTGAACCAGTTTGTCAATGCTCTTAGAGGTTTTGATACGAGAGAAGATGAAGAAGAAATGGCTCAACAAGGCTACAATAAGGCCTTTGCTGCTCAAAGAGGAAGAAGTAGTGGGGGTTACTCTAACAGAAGAGGAAACTCAAACTTCTCCTCAAGAGAAAGAGGTTTCAGACCTGTGGACAAGGTAATAATCAGATTAATCAAGCTACTTAGAACACTGCAAAATATGTGGAAGGAACAACCACACAGCCTTAAAATGCTTCTATAAGTGGGACTATTCCTACCAGGCCGCAGAGGATATGCCACAGGCCTTTTTTGCAGTTAATCTATAGAATACACATGTTGAAGATGAAGCTATATATGTTGACTCTGGTACAAGCAGTCACATAACCAATTCAATAGGTAATCTGTCAAACCTTCAACCTTATAATGGTTCTGATAAGATAATAGTTGGGGATGGATCTAAACTTGACATCACACATATTGGCAATA